CGTTAAAACTGAAGCTTATGTAGAAGTTAGATACCGGTGTGTGTATATATACACACCTGAATAAAATCTTAAGACCGGGGAGAAAATTACTATTACTAAGTATTCGCATTTCGCAGTGGTGGATTGTAACCAGGTTGTATGTAGAGCTTCAAAATGCAAAAAGAAGAAACAGGAGCAAGAGACAAACAACATAAAGTAGGCAATTTATTGAAAACTGCATTTAAACTCAAACAGGCTGTTCATCAGCTGATCAAAAGTTTAAGACCATAGCCTTAAAAAGTCAAAACAGCCTTTTTGCATTTTGAAGCTCTACTTACAACCTGGTTACGATCCACCACTGCGAAATGCGAATACTTGTAATTTTCCCCCCGGTCTTAAGATTTTGTTCAGGTGTGTAATATTTTAAAATCATTGCCCCATGTACATAGTCTACAGTCCTTAAAGTGGGTGGCCCAGGTTCAATTCTAACCCTCAAACTTTTGCGACAAATCATACCCCACTCTCTCCTCCCAGTTTCCTATTCAACCCACTGTGCTATCCTCAAAAAATAGTTGCATAAAAAGTTCAAAGAAAAGTCTTAGCGAAAAAATTGATTAATTAATAGTAGACAAAAAAATATATATATTATTACATAAAAAAAGAAATATGATATTAAGTAAAACAAAGACACAAAATACTAGTATATAAAAATATATGATCACTTGAAAAGTAAGTAAATAAATAATTAAAAGAATGACATATAACTAGATAAGAACTGATTGAACCTATTGGAAAGAAAAGTGACGTTGATGCCTTGGCCAGCAGTATTAAGGTGCTGGTGGAACGTTTCAAGAGGCAATCATGGCATTAGGGTCCCCAATGATGAAGATGCTACCAGCAGCAGCCAGTTTGAAGTTGCATTACTGCCTACTTCCATTCTCTAGTCATAGCTGACCAAGCAAAATGTTTAACCATGGGGCTTAATCTGCTAACTTTTCATACATTAAGGGCAACCAGAACAAGCTCTTACACATTTACACATGTAATACTCATAGAATATCAGGCACTGAAGTGAAATCAGCTGACATCAGTAGTCATATTTGACCAATAACACTTGGGTTCTACTGTCTTTCTTATCTCTGCTGTGGAAACATTAGTTAGAGAAGGCTTAAATGAGCACCCTGCTCATTTCCTGTGATGTTTACAGTCTGTTATTGTATTTCTACTCCAGCTAAAAACAAAAGATTTAACTGATTGTAGTCATTATCATGATTTGCATTTCTAATGTATTACTCAACAATTCCATACATACATCTGTCAAGCACCAACCACATCTTTTGTGAAATAATAAATAAATATCTTGAAACTTTTTATATCTGGTCATGTCATGTCTTATTTTTTTCTCTGAAATAAGTTGAATAGTAAGAAGAAAAAGGTGAGAAAGAGTTTCATATAGATAAAATCACAATACAAATCCCTATTAAAGCATGCTTCTCAGGAAAACATCATGCCTCGTACCAGTACCTAAAGAAGGCTGTCCAGACAAGATAAATGACTATAGGACAGTGACTCTTACATCACACATCATAAAGACACTGGAACGGCTTCTTCTTTGCGGCCTCGGACAACAGGTTGGACATGCATGGACCCTCTACAGTTTGCGTACCAGCAGCATATTGAAGTGGATGATACTGTGCTTTACATGCTCCACAGGGTCTACTCCCACTTGGAGGAGCTGGGTAGTTATACCTCAGATTTCCTCTTCACCCTCTATACCTCTGATTCCCGTTTTAACTCTGGTTTCTGCCATCTCCAAAAGTTTTCTGAGGACTCCTCCATTGTTGGGCGCATAATAGATGACAAGGAGGAGTACAGAGGACTGTTAGAGAGATTCGTCACATGGTGTGAAAGCAACCACCTGAAGCTCAACATCAGCAAAACAAAGGAGTGACCTTTTCTTTGCTGTGGCGTGCTGGTGGGGTGGCATCAAGACTGGTGAGGCACACAGGCTGAACAAGCTGGTGAGGAAGGCAAACTCTGTAGCTGGACTAGAGCTGGACACTCTGGAGACAGTGGCTGAGAGGAGGATGAGGGACAAAATCATATCCATCCTGGATAACTCCTCTCACCCTCTACATGAAGAGCTGTGGCAGATGGGCAGTTCCTTCAGCCTTCGTCTAATCCCCCCAGGTGCAAAACAGAGCGCTTCAGGCGCTCCTTTGTGCCACTGCCATAAGACTGTACAAGACTCAGGACGAAAATTATGTACAGTCTGTACAGCCTTTATCTCCGTTTTCCAATGCTGTTTTGGCTCCAAATTGATTGTAATATAGTCACGAGTGTTGGTGTAGGTGGTTATCTTGGTTCCAGGTACCAATCTCTTGATATAAGAATTTTGGGAAAAATCTGTGGTTTTTCCCTTTTTGACTGTACCCAGCTTGTGTTTATTTCAAACTATTTTTTGTAAAACAATCCACCGCAATAAAAACTAAATTGGAAATTATTAGAGTAATCAAATAACCAGCAACACAGCACAGATTACATTCTGACCAGTAACAACTTTGTCATGTGTTGAAAAACATCACGTGTGGTCAATGTGTGATGTGGGCAGTTGGTTTCAATTCCCTATAGTTGTCTAGGTCTTATTTGTTTTAAAGTGTTCAGCTGTGGTATCACATTGTCATGGCTGTAAATAAACAAAAAGGATATTACACATTAGAAAATAATTCTTCACATGCTGACTTAGTTATTTAGAAACACTTAGTAACTTTGAGTGCTGTTTGGAAATACTAAGCAATCACGAATGAATGAATGACAACACACCTAGATTCAGGTGTTGTGTTTGTTAAATGTCTCAACTGAATTGTGTTTTGTTGAGAAATACTAGTCCCCCATGATAGCAGTAGCTACATTTGAAGTATATATGGAGCTCTGCAAGTCACATAATTATTAAAAACATGATCCTGCAGATATTTCCCAATATAAGTCTAGGAAATTGAAAAGTATTACAATCCTAGCTCAGGAGAAATACTAAAGGTGTTAAAATTGAGAACCTCTGAAATAAAACTAAAAGATACAGGGTTTATGCAAAAACTTTACTGAAGTTCAGTAAGCAAAAACAGAAATGTACAACAGGTTTACATAACAAAATATCCAACTTTGTTGGTTTAGTGGAGCTTAAAGGCAGAATGTGCGACAATTTCCACATAAATACAGCAGAAATCCAGTATATCCTCTGAAAATAACTCTCGGAGTCATGACTGTCTACATCAAGTGAGACACGCAAGTCCCGCTGTCTGTGATGTTGTCTAAGCCGTATCTACACCGTGTTTACATGGACGGGACGGCCGGGTGACCCTTGTGTATGAAAGCTGTTTGAGTGAGGGACTATAGAAAAGGAGAAAAACATACTGTACTCACTATTAATCTAAAGGTCATGTAAGCGTTTTTAGATCATAGTCATTTCGTGTAAATTTACATGCAATGTGAAACTATGAGCTAACTAAAGGGCGCTAACATTAGCCTGCTAACACAACAGTGCAGCTCGAATTTGTTTTGGTTTCCTGCTGGGGCTCTCTACATCTACTGGATCAAGAAGTCACACATTATTCCTTTAAGAATACCTAGACACTTAGTTCATTTTTCAGCACTGAAGGTTGCCGCTTGGATGAACCAGAGGGAGAAATATCATCATGTATCATCTCAGGTTTTAACAGGTAAACAAGGACAGAAGTGATTAGTGACAGACAAAACAGACCATCTGCCTTGTACAAGTGTTGCATTGCAAAATGCAAATAAAGTTTGATTTAATTTCACTTCAAAACATTCTAGTATTAATAGCTGTGTGGTTTATAAGGAAGTGTTTTAACTCCACTGCAGACTGAGAAACTCAAAAACAGAGCCAAAGAAGAATGTAAAATGGATAGATGTGTTATAATTGTTATTTTCTCCTCTTTCTTCTGCATCTGTATCCTCTTTGCACTGCATTATTAATAGGGCTGGACCCGAATATTCGGCTATTCGTTCGTCTGGTGTGCAATCGATTATTAATTTTGAGATTCGGATATTCGTTTTTATTTTTTTGGAGTACCTGATATTCCTATCCTCACAGCTGTCAGTGAATGTCACACTTCAGTTCACCACGGCCGTTAAAGGGAAGACAAAATGCCGAAGACTTCAGCTGTGTCGGAACACTTCAAATTAAGTGAAGACAAGACAAAGGCAGTGTGCCAAATATGCAATTTGAAACTGGCCTACCATGGTGGCACAACAAGCATGAAAAGTCACCTGAATGCTGTAAGTAGTTTGCCATTTGACGGTGTTAAAAAACTCAATATAAGTCACAAAGTAGTTGTCAGGCCGCGCGTCTCTTTTATTTTTAAATTTATTTATGGCTGTATCTGATTAAATTGACTTAAAATAAGCCGCAAATTCAGTAAAGCAGCTGTCATGCTGTCTGTGTTGTTCTCCAATGTGCAGATGCGGACTTGACTGCGCGTTCCTTTTTTAATATTTTAAAAAAGTTTACTGTAATGTTCATTAAGCATCTTCATATGCTTCGAATGGCTTGGTAAATAAAAATAAATACATTTTAAAAAGTACTAATGATTGGACTGACACTTAACATTATTGATACAAAGTTAACCCCAACTAGGTGATTCTGCAATGTGGCCCAGGGCACATTTTATACACGCTGCTATGAGAATCTAGGCAAACCCATCCCAGACTAACATTGTATGTAGGCTATTAAGGTTCACAGTGAATTCTGTAAACGGGGTCTATGATTCATCAGTGCTCTCCTTTTCTTTATCTTTATCCCTGCCCTACTATTTCTCAATTCTCAGGGGTTGTTTATACCTGGTATAAGATATGTGAGTTGGCATATCCGATCACAATTGGACAGCATTCACGCCAAGCTGTTTACACCAGGCCAGATCATTCTCTCCAAATGGTCCCCCCTCCCTCCCCGAATAAAACAACATCCCCATGAAATGCTTAAGGAGAAATAAAAAGATCACATATAAATGTAATATTGATTTTACCACATGGAGCAGGGCAACCACTTTAAACTCGGCTTTCCCCTAAACAAACAGACATGAAGATTCAAAAACAGATCAGAAACAATCATTTGTTTAAAAAACAACATAATAGAGCATAACATAATGTGTAAATCACTTTAAGTCCAAAAATAGTCAAATAAGTCAGTGAGACAAGCAAGCATAAAATTAGTTGAAAAAGTATAAATTCATATCTTACCTCGTTAATCCTTCTCTCAGTTAGTGTCTCAAAAAGGAAGACCTTCTGCCTGCTACATTTTCGACAGCCTGTCATGATAAAAATGCAAGAAAAAACCAAAAGAATCAGTCAGGCAATCAAAATATGTGGGGTAAACAGACACTGGATATTCAGAGATCAGCATTAACTATTACTATTAACATAGCGCAGCAAAATAACCAAAGAACTGTGAAAATATAAATAATATTGGATGGGTGGGGTGCATAGATGGATGGATACTGGAAATTTGTGGAAATAATACCCATGTAAAACAAAACTTACCCTTTCTTTTTCTTTTCTCATGTGGCCCCTCCTTACTCTGAAGCCGGGACATGGTAGAGTCTGTGGCTAGAGGATGAAATTGTGGAGGTGGTTATTTTGTTCCGCTAACAGGGGTAATAGAGAGATGGTTAGGGTATTGGTCATAGAGGGGTTTTTGTACCTCTCTTCCTCTGCTGCACAGACTGCACGCTTCCCTTCCTCTGAGCCAGAGTACCTGTAGGTGATTGAGTCAGCGTGGGGGTCCTTGCAGTGGTAGAAGAAAAAACAGAGGTGGGGGACAGTGTGGGAGACACCGGAACCAGATTAAGAATAAATAAATCCTCTTCCTGGTCTTCCGTATCTTGCTGCTCTCTTGCAAGGGTGTCTGGCTGCTCTGGCTGCTCCGGCTGTTCCATTGCAAGGGTGTCTGGCTGTGGTGGTTAATGTTAACAGTTTTATTCCAAATTCAATTCTGTACATATGAACAAAGAAAATGTATCTAAAACAATGTTAACTTCTAAAAAACATCTTACTCTTGGTCAAGATGAACTCGTAAGCCCTCTGCATCTTTTCCAGTAATTTGTTTTTTGTTGGGTTGGGTTCTAGGTGGGTTATAACGTCTGCCACCCACTTATTTGAAGCCCTTTTTCCCCATAAATAAAAGTGGCCTGTAGCCAAGGGCCTCAAGCTTCATCACCTTAAATAGACAAAAGCAAAAAAGTTACAAAAGTTAGCAAACAGGTTAAACCTACTACATTATTAGACATATTCATATAGTAAAAACAGTGATTCAAGGAAAGTTAATGGAATAAAACATGAGAAAATTAGCTGCTACCCTTTTAAACTGCAATATTAAAATAGAAGCATATTTACTGTTTGACATTTGATTAAACAACACACCACTGCAAGCCACCTCCTGTAGTTGCTGCCTTTATAATCATTGAGTCATTTGTCAGAAAACATGACAAAATAGAAAATAGTGATAGAGAAAAAAAATCAAGAACAGATTATTTTTTAACTAAACCAACTCAACTAGTTCCGCAGTTTAACTGAAACTAGAATGTTGCTAAGTAACCAAACCTTCTTTTCTACTGTTGGTGTCCATGGTTACCACAGAGCAGCTACTCTGTAGTATGAACCTTTACTTGTGTGTTAAAATAAATTAATGTGAACATGAAACCAGTGACATTAGAATCTGTTGTTTGATTCTGAAGTTTGATGAATCAAGAAACTCTGTCAGCTGTACATGTTAGATTAAAAGTAAACATATTGTACATAAGTCTCAGTGATGACTTCATTCATGGAATGCCTCTTGTCCAATCAGATTGCTTGGTGGGAACTAACTGTTGTATAATCAATGTATGAAATGTAACCATTAAAAAACATCAGGAGAATTGAAAGAAGTGGGAGTCTACTCTCAGACCAGCTGTGTATGACATATTAAAACTGCCCATCAGACAAATAATAAAACAAGTGTTGTCACGATACCAGAAATTTATATTTTGATACGGAAGTAGTAAAAATCATTCGATATTAACATCTGTTTTGAAACCACAGCAACACAAATATAAGTCCCAGGGACCAAATGTTGTCCAGGTGCCAATCTCTTGCACATTGTCTAAATTGTACAACCGTATTTGTGCAATTTAGACAGTGTAGACAGAGAGTTTTCTTGCAAATTTTGATAAAATGATCCCTCTCCTAAACAGCTGTCTCATAAAATATATGATTTTTTTAAGGTACCTTTTTGATGCTATGGATCCACAATAATGTTGGGCCACGCAGGCTTAGAACAGTCAAGCAATGGACTTGGGCCTGCACCTCTGTAAAAGCCTCATTTGAGTTATTCACTGAGATCACAAAGAGGCCTAAAAGGACTCTTAATCCCAGAATCCCCTGCGGTACTTCACACCTACGTGTGAAGTAAAGGGGGGACCGGAACCTCTCTCTCCTCATTGGAGGGGACCTGAGGTAGACCCCCATGGAGCAGGCCAGGCTACAAAACTCCAAGACTTCCATTGCTCGCTCTCTTTCACGCGCTGACCTTCGGTGCTCGGAGACCCAAGAAGATCTCCTGTTTCCTGCAACCATCTTCCTTTGTTTTAAGTTTTGGCGCGCAGGTAATCCGCGGCCGGCAGTGTTCTAAATTCCGAGCTCGGATTGTCCAGTGAACGCATCTCAGTTTCTCGGAGAGCGTCAGACTATAACAGATTATCAGAAAGATAACGGTCTTATTCCGTCCTGCAACGAAAGGACATCAAAGGACATTTTTCCACTCGACGGAGAACCAACGAAGCCGCTCTCGCCGTAAGGGACCCTCGCCGCCATCAGACGCCTCTGCACCAGGACGGACAGAAGATCTGCTCCATCGCCGGACTCTTTTCCTTTCACCAATCGCGGACAAAGCGATTCACAAGTGAGGCTTAATTAGGTCTGGGCAGAATTAGCTTTAGAGAGTGTTTTTAACAATTGTTGATCAAAGCAGAAACTGTAATTTTTATCTTTGTTGGACCTGCGTCCTGAGTTTTAACTGTTTAAAACTCTTGTTGTTGTTTCGGACCGCTGCGTCCTATATGTGTTTAGTGTAACAGCGTTATAACCGGGTATTACTCTTCTGATCAGAAAGGCCAGTGTAAGCCGTATTAACCTGAATTCGGCTATTGGTTTGTTTCTGTGAATGAAGGGAATTACTCCGAGTTGTGGCGCGGGAGTCGGACTGTGATCCGGCCTCTTCAGGCACGCATTTCTCTTTTATTCTCTTTTATTTCCCCTTCTACGCACACACATACACACATATTCCTGTGTAAACGTACATCTGTAGACCAACTCCACCACCGCGCCATTACGCACAGAGATCTATACACTCGCGGCTATCCAGACGCCTCAGAGACACAGATTGTGTAGGGCCGAACTCAGTCTCTTTTAGACCTTAAGGCCACATCTAGGCCTTTGTTAGGTGTGTGCCATCGGAAGGGCGACCACGTGGGACGAAGTAATCTTCCCCCCCCTTCTCTCTCCCTTTCATCCACACGTGCACGCACCCAGGTCTTTGTTAGGTTTGCGCCGTCGTGAACGACCACGAGGGTACGAAGCCACCCCCCCCTTTCTTCTTCCCTCTCTCTCTCTCTCTCTCTCTCTCACACACACACACACACACACCTACATTCACACCCCTTCCACAAGCCTTTGCTTGATAATGTTTGTTGCTTAGATTAGTTTATAATAGTTATTTGTTTAATTAAGTTCATTGATTTTGGATTGATGTTGCTTTGTTTAAATAAATTCTGTTATAATTTAAGAGAGCAGTTGTTTGTGGTTACTGGTGTATTTACATTGTGATATAAGCTGGGTGCGAAGGCTTTGTGTACGGATTTCACGCCTTCAATTTATTAAATATAGTTATTCATTATTAATAATATTAGTAATTAAATAACTAATTTGAGACTGATTTGAGTGATATTTTGGTTATATTTACCTGATTACAGGTTGGTGCCCCAAAACGAGATTAAACATAGTTTAATGATATTTTATTTATATTATTAATAATTAAGTATAATTATTAAAGAATATAACCAAAGTTGACTTGATACAACCCCAACAAATGGTGCCCCGTGTGAGGCCTTCAATAAACCAGCTTTATTGCACTGTAAATGCACAGTAATCCAAACTTAAAATCCTAAAAAGGATCCTTCGGAAGAAAATTATATTTTCTTTAAATTTTTGTGGTTTAAGCAAAGCAGACATCAAGCTGTGGCTTAGTTGTGTTGTATGTTGTTAGTTAATGGTTAAAGCCATAACTGTTGTCCCCTTTGGGTCCATACAACAATTGGACATAATGATGCAGCTAGTGTGACTTTATCAAGGAACTTGATTTGTTGCATTAATCTAGATTTTGATCCTGAAGTATTCTACTAAAGGATTGTGGTGCTCCTTGTTGTTTGAGAGCCATTTGGCCAGATGAGAGTGTAACCTCATCATTGTTGCATAGCCAGCTGTCTGAGAGGTGTGAGTTCCTCCCTTCCTTTGAGGACTTGAGGTGTGAATCCCCTCTCCTATCTTCCAGGATAGACTGCAGTGATCAGTTGGGAAACTTAGATAAGATTTGCTCTTGTGTACCAAGACCCTAGGTGAGTCGGGGCTGAGACTCCTTTTGGATCAGACGACGCAGCACTGCAAGAAACTGCTGCCGGTCTGACGAACCTCTCCTTAGAGGAGAGTGCCAACCTATATAGCTAGTCAATTAGCATTAGTGATAAGAAGTTAGAAGAGCTAGTTGATCTTGTCAACCACAGAGCCAGGCTCACCCCTAATAAAGACAGAATGTATGCAGAAGACATACATCAACTATGGGCCAAAGCTCACTATGGATCAGACGATCCACCCCTTCAAGACGTAGTTGCTAATCTTATCCACCTCCCTATAGAGCAGCTCGACAGCCTGAACTCCTACACCCTCAGCACATGTGAAAAGAGACTAAAGGGCTTGGTTGAATATGCAAATCAACCAACTGGGAAGCCAACACGTACAGCTTCAGATGTTCTAGGCGAAATTCTCCTCCTTTATCAGCGCAAATCAAATGTGCAGAATGAGATACACCGGGAACAGCTAGCCCGGGTACTAGAAGAAGGACAGATCCTGCGGGACGACTTCGAAAGAATGCAGGATAAACTAAAGACCTTGCAGGAAAATTGCAAGGCCCTGCAGGAGGAGAATAAAACACTGCATGAAAGCAGCAAACTGGCCGAACAGAGAAACGAAGTGATATGGTACCCAGATTTCAGGACAGGCAGAGAAGGACTTCAGCCCCCAGATCAGATGAGGAAACCTCAGACGAAGGATGGGAGACTGAAACAAGCCCCTGGAGGAGGGAGACAGACATGTTGCAGGATCTGGAGGAGAGGGGAAGGCACCGCCGGGTCGACCCAGGCACAAAAGCGCCCACGTCCTCAGACCACCCGGTAAAGAGTGGATGATAAAGATGAAGGGCCCCCGCGTTCCGCATACGCTTTGAGCGAAGAGAACCCTCACCCCGCAGGAGGAGAGGCTTTACTCCCCCTAGAGACAGGGAGGAGACACGGGCCCAATTGGGCACCGAACGCTACCTGTCCCACGATAGACGGCCACGTCTGAGCCGAACACAAACCCCGCCACGGTTACAACCCTACTACCGTGACAACCACAGGGCTTA